GCTTGCTGTCTATTGTCTGCAAACTTTTCACTCGAATCATCCTAAACAGAATTGACAGAACACTGGACGAAGGACAGCCATGTGAGCAAGCACGGTTTCGAAAAGGATTTAGTACGATGGACCACATTCACACGATAACAAGACTCATTGAAGTATCGCAAGAGTACAAAAGACCGCTCCGTCTCACTTTCATTGATTTAAGGAAAGCCTTTGATTCAATTGCGATAGAAGCAGTCCTGGAAGCTCTTGAGGGTCAAGGAGTCGCTACTCAGTACGTAAAGATAAAGTACATAAAGATCGCGCCAAAATTATTTGCCACCACCCTCCAGAACCTCATGCGAACGTTGGAATGGGATAATATGGGTGTGAAAATCGATGGTCGCCAGTTACATCATCTTCGCTTTGCTGATGACATCGTCCTTACAATACAATACATCAGCCAAGCCGAGCGTATGCTTGACGACTTAAGATTATGATTATAACTATAACTGGGTTCAATGCCGTTTTGGGCTCCCCAGATCAATCCCTTTGGCGGGTAATTGCTGATGGCAAAAGATCGATAGAATTAGCTGAGAGGCAGGCGAAACGAAGGGCCCGCATGATGTGGTGGTGAACGCATTACTCCCGGAAAGGACAGTAGCGCGTTCGTTCCCAGGCGCAGACACCTGCGGTCCGGAGTTTTGCAAATATCTCAGCATTATAGCAGTGATATTAACACTGACATCAAAAGAGGAGTTAGGCAAGGCGATACCATCTCGCCAAAATTGTTTACCGCCACCCTCCAGAACATTGAAATGGGATAATATGGGAGTGGAAATCGACGGTCAGCAATTACACTGTCTTCGCTTTGCTGGTGACATTGTCCTTATAATACCAAACATTAGTCAAGAGGAATGAATGCTTGCCTACTTTGATAAAGCCTTTGGAAAGATTGGCCTTCGACTAAATCTCACAAAAACGATGTTCATGAGGAACGGATTGGTTTCGTATTCCCCATTCACGCTCAGCGGAATGAATATCTCCGACTGCTCCAGTTATATCTATCTAGGTCGGGAAATCAATATGGTGAACGACCTAGCTCCAGAGCTGAGCATAAGAAAACGAGCGGGTTGTGGAGCTTTCAAGAGCATCGAGGATGTAGTGAAGAGAGCAAAGAACACCCGACTTTGTGCCCACCTTCTCTACTCAACGGTACTTCCTGCCCTAACGTATGCGTCAGAAACCTGGTCTCTGCGTAAGCAGGAAAGGTCACTCAGCGTTATCGAACGCGCAGTCGAAAGGACGATGCTAGGAGCATCCCGTTTCACACAAGTAAGGGAAGGGACCCGAAGCTCCGACCTTGCATCAACGATCAAAAGTTAAAGATGCCGTTCTGTACGCCAAACAGTCGAAGTTGAGGTGGGCCGGACACGCAATGTGTAGTAATGACAACCGATGGAAAAGAGCCGTTAGTGACTGGATTGCTCGGGATGTTAAACGTACTGCAGGATGACCACCGACCCGATTTTCAGAGCTCTTTGCGAAAAGTCTAGAAGGAAGATGTGATGCTCGGCGAATCCCTAGAGCGAGAAGAACCCACTGGTCTACTCTTGCACGCGACAGGGAAAAATGGAAGATTTACTGGCGCCCGCTCGAGTCACTCGATGACCAACGGGACTACAGGTGATATAGGTGATACTCTGATTAGTACATGGTTCGCTGGAAAAAAAGGCATTTTCGGGTACTTTACCGTGATGTTCAGTTGGAGGCCGACGTTTCTGTCTGACAGTCCCGAATAAACCTATACTACGAATTGCTCTCACCCATGAAGAGCCTGCGTGTTGTTGCCTAGCCGAGAAGTCTTCCATAAGGATCTAGTCGTAAAAAGGACATGACACGAAGGGAATCATGCACTTAAGGCAAAGAAAAGTATCGGTGTACATGAATTGACTTTTATCGTTTTGAGCCGTGCGTTTTCTTCCAAAAACACTAGAAATCTTAACATAAAGTGAGAATTTCAAGGATCCCTGAAATAACAACTCATACCTTCCGCTTCTCACAGCCTGTAGTTTACCCTGCCATTATGGATGGCAGGTGTTCGGGGTTGGTGAATTGTAATGTGCAGCGGGAATTCGTCTTCTAATCACAATCAAGTCAATAAACTGTACAAGAGTTCGATATTTCCATTTGTATATCCAGCTATGTGTGGAATCATGACGAGACAGTGTAGGTGATCTATCCGTAGCTACCTTCTAGCTAAAAACAACCAAATATTGACAACGTTCCAGATATGTGATATTACTTTCTTAAAGTGGCTTTATAGAAAGATCAAAGCTCACCGAACAACTCCGATTGCGCAGCTGAAGCGAATGAGGTACGCTTCATCTACCCGTTTCATTAATGGCTTACCAAATCAAAATGACAAGTTCCTTAGCAATTTCATGAAAGCCGTGTATAAGTTAGGAATTCGCATTTAAAAGCATGAATTGCACCCGTCTTCAATGAAACATAAACGCGATTGTAAACCTCATTTTGATCCTCTACAAATGCTGTGCCTACGGTATATAGTGACGACTTGGGAAGGACCACATGTAGGGCTTGCTAGAGGCAGCAGATCACAGATATTACCAAAGCAGCAAAATACCAGTCAAATTAGGAAATGCGGTGGATTTCTTGGTGACGACGGAAGTTTTAAGTATCCAATTGTACTACTTTTTAGAATCACTATTCTTCGTTACAACTTCGTAACAGCTCTAAAAACTTAAACAAGAACTGATTCGTGCGGGCGGCAGATGTTGCATGTTCCCTGTGTAAGGTACATCACTCTTGATTGCCAATCATTATCGAGGTATTTTGCTGTTCATACAAGTTTTCGTTTTTTTATGGATTTAGCACCTCCCAACGGTTTACCGCCTTATAGTGGCTGGGAAGTGTTCCTGGGTGTCGGGTTGCGATGTACAGCGGGGGTTTCATCCCCCAACAGAGTCTCCCAAGCTGAGAAGGATTCCGGCGTTTCTGACAGGAAGCCCAGCTAAGAGTAAACCGATGTCAGGATCCACCACCGTTCTGGTATCAAATTAGTCGCATGGTGGCAAATCTCACTCTGATTCACAAGGGCTGCGACTGCCTGTGATGGCGACGACCTGAGACAGACTTTGGCCAGGCTGACCTCGGGGTTCCAGGAATCCACAATGCTAAACCAGCAAACCTCTGGAAAGATGGAAATTATGCTGGAGCTCGCATAACTGGTGAGGACAGGCCTTCCAGGTGTCCAAGGAAGTGAGCATTAATTTAGCAGCATTTAGTATATGTTCAAGTGAGCGCATGAAATGTTGTATATTTTTGAGTTCAATGTTGGTGGTGCAGATTTCTAAATACTGCCAGTCATTATAAAGCGTTCACTCGTGTTTGGTTCCCTCATTAATAATATTATCCATTGAAGTGGAGTGTTTTGAAAATGGTGGCGTCTGCTGCAAATATTCCTTATGCCGATCAAATCTTTCTCCATGAGCAAATACAGCTGGTTGAAATACTTCACAAACACCTCCGCTCATACCACATAAGTAGCCGTCTTAGAAGATTCTTAAGTCTTCTTGAAATCCGCTTCGATGTTGTTTTCATCTATCTATCTAGGGTCTTCTAATTACATGATTATCATTCTCATGTCTGCATTAGCTGAATAATCCGATAGACCATCAGCACGATTGAATTGTCAAAAGTTCCAACTGTGAAGTTCGTTTTCTGCTCTGCACGGGCTTAACTTGAAAAGATGTCGTTCAGACTCTCTATGGGTGTTGCATGACGAGCGACGAGGTAGTGAAAGTGTGAGTTCACCTCTTTGTTGCACAGTTGTTGTTGTTGCGCTAGAAGAAATATTGGCCAAGATAGCTATGCTAGGTCATCGGGGTCTGTCAGTTGTTCGGTCGGCGAGTTGTTTGAAAAATTCGGTCTGGCTGCCCTCCATTGTTTAGGTTCCTTCCTCTGCAAAATTGCTTTAGGAAGACGCTTTGGTACATAAATCTTTAGGAATTCTCGCCAAGAAGACGAATGTTATCGTTTGCTTTGTTGAACAGGCCATTTTGTATCGATTCAAAGCAAAATGCTATGAAATCCTTGATAAATCTATTTCAGTATAATGGGACATCCCGATAATCCAGGATAAAAATATTCCTTATGTATGAAGAGTTGTTCTTTCTTTGGTGTTAGCTCTTCGCTTGCGCTAAAAAAATCAGCCTTAGCACAAAACAGTGCTAAAAATAGTGGAATAGAGAATTTAGCACAAAATGAGTTAGGATAAGTAACAAGTAAAGCAACAGAGTAGAATAAAGTGCAGTGGACCAACTCGTTCGTAGAGCCGAAAGTTTCTCTTAATAGGGTAGCGAATGGTCTATAGTTTGGGAAAACGTTTACAGATCCTCATAGTTTTTACTCAAATTTGTGAAAATCGTTAGAGCTGAGATAGATGCGCTTAAGAGTTAAGTAAATGTCGGACACGTATGACTTATATATGACTCACAGTGAAGTCCATGGTCTAAAAATGGACAGTATTCGGATCTATGACGTTATGAAGTTGTAACCCGAAAATCTTAGCAATATGTTATGTGTTTTGCAAACAATATTAGTTAACTTACTAAGGAGACGGGAATTGATTTACAATCTTCTGTTAGACTCGTATCGGCACTCGTTGTCACCCTATATCATATAATTAGTGACTTTTCCACATATTTGGTCAGATTAATGTTGAATATACTCTTTAGAGAGGTACCATCGTTTGTAGACTTTTCCTTTTGGTTCTTTTTTAAGAGTCTCATTATCCGGCTATGACTTCTACATCGAAAACTTCAGAGTAGCAGTAACAACGACATCAGCAGCGAGTTGAATTCAGCATCTACCGGTCGATGAGCATCTGTTCGTCCGTCCGTCGGTCCGTCTGTTCGTCCACCCGTCCGTTCGTCTATCCGTCCGTCCGTCCAACAGCAGACGAGGCCAATCGGCCCCGCCCACAGCGTGTCTCATGTCGAATGTGGCTGCTGGCGATTGTGGTGGTGGTACTGCCGCCACTTGTTACACCGTTGACAGCACGTGGTCCTCCTATTGTTCTACACGTACAGACCGCTAAAACGTCGTCCACTCATCCACTTCATGTTTCCGAGAATGTGACCTTGTGGTGTGCACCCGACAATCCACAGGTGAGTTACGAACTTCTACTAGTTATGAATAGGCTTGAGAATTATCCTGATATTTATGAGGGCTAGAAATAGTTATCACCATCTGTGTCGCTAACAGTAAGTTTCCTTTACCGTAAAGATCTTATACATTTATGTAACACAAATCTGCGACGGGTCCAAAACTAAAACGAAGCCCAGCAGAACTGAAATGCTTACTTTGGTTAGGGTTCTGTTAAGCTCACTACTTACTTTTATGTGAGATTATAAGGAGGATTTCCTTTTAGAAACTCTATCTGTCATAGCTATTTATGTGCCAGGCAGGAGAAAATCCCATATTTTTCTAAATATCTTAGGACTTTTTCAAGACATATTTGAGAGTAATTATGTTTCGTGTAGAACGTCAGGCCACACTGGCTAGTAATTCAATGTATCGCACAATACTCAATTATCGCTCGTTCGGCGAACGTACTTCTTTCTGACTGGCAGCTCATCGGAAATAATTACAAGTAACCAAACGTTTATGTCGTTAAGAATGATTGTTATCGTTAACACTGGTCGTCTTTCTTCCCCGTCGACCTGATTTATGACCTATCTTTCCTAAACTATCAGTTTTTCTAGGATTTTTTAGGCCTAGAAGCTTGAACTTTTCCCTCCCCAGTGCTTAGAGTGTTGGACTTTGTAATGGTGTAACAAATTCAGCGACATTTTTCCGATTATTGCTACCATTTCTAAGTAACTGTGGCTTGAGAGTGTAGTAAAACGATCCTGGATAAGGACAAAATCGTTCGATTTTTAATAAGCCCGTTAAGTTGAGTTCTGCGGAGTCGAATCCTTATTCTCTGTTACCCATAGTAACCATGGTAGACTAATAGACTACCGTCAGGTTGATAGGGCAGACACTTTTCAGATTATTGGCGAACAAGCCACCGATACGCTGCGTTATTCAGAGTCAGCAAACTACATCCGAAAATGATTGATTTGCTCTAATAATTGCACTCTTTCGAAAGTCAGGGTTTAACCGCATGTATTAGCTCCATAGCCACGAAAGAAGAAACCCGTTAAGTTACTTTGTCGGGGAAACATTTCGAGCCAGTCAGTGAGTTATTTTACCTGTATAGAGAATCCCTAACGCATCCAAGTGATCCAGGTCCATAGAAGCCGAGATATTCGTAAGAGTTTCAAACTCCGGAGAAAATCTCGTCGTTAACAGCTGCTTACGATACCAGTTCTCTGACATTTCCTAGCAGTTCTTGATTTCTAATGAGATCTCTTAAATAAATTGAAAACAGAAAAAAAAGACCTTGACAAAGTATAATACAATCAGTTGCACGTTGTTTCTTATTCAGAAGAGCAAAGTAACGCTGGGTTTTACCAGGATAACATTGAATTGTCCGTAGTCTTGCGTCCGATACGTGTATAGTTTCTCTAGATCACAATCCGACGCGCGTGGTTCGTTCGTAGACGCGATAGGCGACGCTTCGAAGCGCAGCTGAGCCCGGAAAGGAAGAACGCGACATTCACCATGAAATCTCCGGTTGTTAGAGATGCTGGTGAATATACTTGTGAACTGGAGACTCAACAAGGCCGTCTGACCGCACAAATACAGGTATACGGTAGGTTAGATGTGTATAACTAAAAATAGTTTCAACCTGTGTTAACATTTCTTTTTCACTAACTTTTTTCGATGGTCGTTCTTACTGTGGAGATTTTCGCAACAGAAGAGTTTCGGTGAGGTCTTGTAGATGTTTTTTGTAGGTGAATTCATTGCCTTGTGAAAAGTGCTACGTGTGCAGCTTTTCTTTTGACAGTGGAACGGTCCGACTCCTAAACACCCTCGTGTTTCAACGCGTTCTCCCTGTTTAGCTCTTCTCCTCTTTTTCTCCCTCTTTCTCCTCCCTCCCCCCCGCCTCTCTCTCTCTCTCTCTCTCCCTCTCTCTCTCTAGCCCTCTATTTTCTTCTACTTTCAATCACTTCTCCTTTTTCCCTCTTTCTCTCCAACTCTTTATCTTCACGTTTTCATTTGTTCTCGTACTCATTCTGTTTCTACTATCTTCATTGTTCCAATCACTAACATAAGTAGTCTATACTAATGTCGTACTTAATCATTATTATTTGTCCCCAACTTTTTAAAAATTTAATTTGTTTTCAAAAACGAAAATGAGCAAAATGAAACTGCCTACTAACCAGATAGGTTGCAGTAACAGCATCAGATTCCATTTATCCGCCTCTATCGGCTCGCAAGTGACGGATTTCCGCTGAGCAGTTGATTAATGAACTCAGTCTCGGATTCATGACTTTGTTTTTCAGCTCTTTAACAATTTGTCATCATCTTTGTCTTAATTGTTAATCTTTAACCATAACGATGCTGAGATATTCGCAAAATTTAGACCCCGCGCTAGATCGAACCACGATTACCCTTCCCGTGGGAACACGTATTACACACTGCACTCCGGAGGCCTTTCGATCCGAACCTCCGGCCTCCTCAAAGGGTAATCATGGTTCTATCTGGCCCGGGATCCACGTTTTTCGAATATGTCAGCATCGTTACGGTTGAATTTCACATCATATCCTGCCGTGAAAAATTATAGTAGACAAAAAATAAAAGGTTAACGCAGTTTTTCTATATTTCTACATTTTTTGCAATGTTTGTCGTTGCTTTTTCTCTCTTACTCATCTCTTTTACTAACGTTTCTAGAAATGTAGTGATTCAATTTCAACTCCTTCTATAGCGTTTTTCATAGTTGCTGGCTTTTTGTCACCTTTTAACTCTACAGCATAATTTCTTTGTGAAAAGAGAAAAAAGAAATGGCCCAGAGCTTTTGAGAGTTCGTTTTTAATGGAGGGGATCTCTTTGGTGGCGGTAAGTGTGGGTCGATTACTCTCGGTCTTGAGTTCGATTCAGAAGGCGTTTTCACGCTTGTCGTAGTCGGAAAATCATAGTAATTACGGAATCGACCCGAGATTGGCCTTATTCTTCATCCTCGTTCTCCTTCGTCCTCCTCCTCTGAGCACAATCTCCATCGTCGTTCTCCACCCTTCGTCCTCTTCGTCATTTCCTGCCACCCACAATCCCTCCCACTCGTTAGAGTGATTGTGAGGACGGCCACAGATTTGGGTCATTATGTTTCATTGTAAATTATTCCATTGATTTCAGTATTTACATAGCGATGTTGCTTGATTTCTGACGTTATAGTGACATAATAATTAACATTATTCAAATCCTTTTACTTTTTCAAGTATATTCGTGGTTATTATTGTATGTTATGCCTAACATTACGTGTTATTAAATGTCTATCTACGGGCGGTGTGGCGCAGTGATCGGAGGCGCGCTGCAGCAGACACATAGGATCGATCCTAGCGTCCCAGGCTCACCAAGCCCTCCTTCCCTCTGGGCTCGGGAAATTGGTACCAGACTTGTCTGGTAGGATAGCAGTACTTACTCGATACATCGGTAGGCCACCGCGAGTCAGTCAAGTAAAGGGCAGATGTGCATTCAGTTACCTCCAAACGATGCTTCGTGAAGCCGAATGCATAGCGCATCCCTCAGGGATTGGCCAACGCCAAGAGCTTTATCCTTTTCTATTTTTATTTGCCCATCTACTATATATTGTCAAGTATTATCAAGAATTTCTTTAGACTAACTGTCGTTTAAACTTATCTTTGATAGTTAATACCTTCTTGGACTATTAAGCTAGCACGAGATTGATAACAAGAAGTTCATTCGGCTAACGTTTCGATGTCTTCGTTTTCGTCAGGGCCGGGTTTACCCAAGACGAGCAAGCACATCGTGACAACGACCAGCTGTGGATCGCTGACTGGAGCAATACGGCTCAGAGGTAGACGAAGACATCGAAACGTTAGCCGAATGAACTTCTTGTTATCAATCTCGTGTTAGCTTAATAGTCCAAGAAGGTATTAATCCAAATATTTATGTTGACAACCATTCGCTTTAATTTAACTAATTAAATGTTGAGAATAAATCGTAGCGATATAAAAGAGATAGTTTCCTTCCGGTAAAATACAGAAATTCTACCAAAGTCTTGTAAATTCCTAATTGATGTCAGTACATCCTAGTGCTGTAATCTAATAATCGTTGAATACTTATATCGGCCATCCTGAAGTGTTCCCACGAGGGCGCCATTCGTGATAGTAGTCTGCTTCAAACGTGGCGACGTTTCAACGCTAATCAGTGGTCCATGAATGAATTCCTGTTCCACATGTAGCTACTTGATGTTAACCAAAAACATGACCTGTCAATTTCTTAGGTGGTAGTCCGAGAAGGGGCTTTATATAGGCATAAAGTTCAGTTCATTGTTCTTTAAGTCCGCCTGTTATCTTTTCTTCATCTTGAATGGTTGGCCGTTCTATGTTTTGCAGTGCACGTGTACTCTTCTGAATCTCAATAGTGGATGGGATAGGCCCCGAAGATCTGAATTCCTCATCAGAGCTGGACATGAAGAATGCCAGCTATGTTTCAGAAAATATCGTTCAAAGGCTCTATGGGTAGTGCGCGGAGTTCTTGATGTTGTTGAAATATTAGTCCAGGTCTCTGCATTTTAGAGTGCTGAGAGATCCGTTAAGTTCAGAAGTAAGCGTTGAATTCTGGGTTGGTTGGTTGACTGATTGCTTTTTTGAGAGACCCGAATGTGTGATCCATGCTGCTCTTTTTCTTCCGTCGAATTGCTTTTTTATGTTGTTATCCATGTTAAGTGAACGTCCAATGTACACGTACGAGGTGGTCTCTCTAACCATAAAACCGTCTAATTCGATTTGTTCACCTTGGCACTATAGGTTTGTTTTATACTCGGTTTTCTTGAGAGTTATACATAGCTCAATCCTTCTTGCTGTTTCGTTCGGCTTTTAAGTTTCGCTTCTGCTCCACTGGTTCTCGTCGAAAATACGACGAAGTCTCTGGCAAAACAAAAGTGCTCTGAATTTCCCATTGATGCGTATGCCCTTTTATCCCAGAACGTGTGACTTCATTATCCACTTCACTGGTAAACAGCTCTGGCGAGATGATGTCTGCTTGTTGGACACTTTCTTCCTATGGGGATGATTAGGGGAGATGATTAGAGTTGATGAAAAAACTGTAACTTTGTCCTATAGTGTAGTAGCAACAGTCGCCGGCGTACAACAGTAATGCTAATACTAATAGTGATAGCAATAATAATAGTAATAATGACAATAATAGTAATAGTTCTAATAATAACGGCAATAATAGTACCATTATGAATAATTCAATGTTTTTCATCAATAAGCAGACACGAGGTTGTTAATATAGAATTTATTAGAACACAATTGCTGACGTTTCGGCGGTTTCGCCTTCTTCAGAGCCTGGAAAGGTCAAATTGAGATGTGATCTACTCAGCCAAACACTTTCACAACCCTAGCAGATAAAACTTGATAAATCGATTTGTATTCGCATAAGAAACAGCTTCATTCAAACACCTACCGTTTATTTGTTGTAAGTATTTAAGTTAGTTGGTGGATAGCCATTATGAATAGTTTCGAAACCGATTTTCCTTTAACCTCGGCGTGACTAATCAATATATATTCTTTTTTGATGAGCTTATTAGTAGTAGTAACGGATTTACCATTGACAAGTATTCTTTCCACTGATAAGCTAAAACGAGCCTCTGAAAACTGTCTACAACCGACTCAGATCAATCCGATTCTGAAGAAAGCGAAGGCGCCGAAACGTTAGCCGAATAACGTTTTCTTTTATCAACCTCGTGTTAGCTTATTAAAGAAGAAATTACATACTGACTATTCGTGCTAGGACTAAAGGAAAGTTGGTTTTTGAATAATCATTAACGGCTTGTTAGGGAATGAGATGTTCACCTACAGTATTCTTTTAGTGGTAGAAAATGTATTCGATTGATTAGCAATCAATTAACCATAGGAAGCATAAAAATGCGTTTTCATAGTGCCTAAACCATGAGGAAATGTTTGTAGGCATTAGTGTCCCCATTGATGGACATGATGGAGACGCGCATTGATCTCAATATTCTAATTAATATAATATAATATAATGATTGCTTTCAAATTTGAGCCAGCATATCTCAGATCGTAATGAATTTCATTAACTGAAAGAAAAACTACTATAATCTACAGATATTTTCCTATTCTTATTCGAAATATAAGTACGCAGTCACAGGTTCGGTCCCTACCACTACTAGAGTGGAAGGAGTCGTCCGAGGGTCCGAAATCGATGAGCTTTCAGCCACTAGATTCGTCTGCAAAACAGGAAACATCAACTTTGTTTTTGCTTATCCCTTGCTTTCGGAATGTTGTTAGATGAGCCAAATTCAAACAGATTGACTCAGTAGACTTAGAGATGGGCTATCGATGTAATCGTACATTTCAAAACCTGCCAAAGCTATGAACAACCCCGTTATTTTTATGGATGTCTAGCTTATCAAAGGAAATTACCAATTTCCTTTGTCTACCACTATATAGCTTCTTAAAGACAGAAATCGATGACGTTTTCTGTTTTAGTAATGGAAGTTCCTATATGGGTAAGGGAGCAGAATTGGCTGTGGGTGTGAGTTCAACCAAATCTTGACAGTCCTTTCGAAAAAGATCAAGTATCATAATTCCTTCCTCAGTTATTTCGCCTGAGAAAAGCCAGTGTTA